CCTGTTTGCATTTTAAAATCAAATTCACAGTGTGAGCATGGCTGAGAACTCCTGTTTCACGATAAATCGGAGATATTTGAGATGTCTCTCACAGTTAGTCTATTTTCCAAAAGGAAGATATCCGGTTGTTCATAAAATTGGTGTCTGCCGGAAACATCGCGGCAAAAACATCTCTTACAAAAACGTCGCGGAGAAAATGACACAAGGCGAAAACGTCGCGGTACAAAACATCGTGGGAGAAAAGAAAGCAAAATGTTCTAAAACATCGTGGTACAATATATCGTGGTCGAAAATAAAACTGTTTAAAAATTTCGCAGTTTAAAAACATCGTCGTCGAAAATATCGTGGTAAAAAATAAAGTACCTACAAATTATCGCGTGACGATAACTTCGCACACATGCGTTTTCAGGTTTTAAAAGTTTCAAATGCTCGTTCGCGTAACGATTTGGGAGCGCAAGAAAGAAAGAGGAATTATTTTAATTCTATATTTCATATTTTTGAATGAACTAATAAATTTTTGTTGAAAAATAAGAAGGAAAATTAAGCATTTAAAAATTGAAAATGAGTAGAAAATTAATGCAACTTATAGAACTTAATAGAATTTTAAATTTACATAGTTAATTAACAAAGGTCATTAATAAAATAATCTTTTTTTATAAAGTTTTAGTGATAATTCTTTTATGAAAAATACAGTCTAAAAATACTTAGAAAAAGGAAAGTAAATATGCTGATGTTTCCTCTATAAAAATTGCTTAGTTAATTATAAAACTTTTTTCTTTCGCATTTGTTAATGTGATATTATTTTAGTGAAAATTATATTTTGTTTTGTTTCCATTTATTCTTAAAGTGTCATTAACATTTTCTTGTATAGCGTGCAATCAATTTTTTGGATGTCAATTTGTTAATTATGACGAAAGTGAGTTACATAATATGTCAGTATGGGATTTGAAAAACGCATGTGTACGATGTTATCGTCACGCAATGAGCTGTAGGTATTCTTTTTACCACCATACGACGATGTTTTTAAACTGCGAAGTTTTTGAACCGCTTTATTTTCGACCACTGTATTGTGTACCATGATGTTTTAGAACTGCGATGTTTTCTCTTTGCTTTCTTTTCTCCCACGATGTTTTGTACCACGACATTTTCGCCTTGCGTTGTTTTCTCCGGTACGTTTGCGTCCGCGATGTTTTCGGCTGAACCATAAAATTAGTAACGTAGTAACGCATTAGTAGTAAAAATATTAGAGATGGACTTTGAGGGTTACATATTATTTTGTAATACTCAGCAAAATTTGTGTTCATATCTGCTGTTTCATGGAAATGTTTTAGCTCAATTAGTATAGACAAATGATTACTTCCATCAGACTCCATTATCTTTCAGGTACATTTGTAATAAACACACCGAGCTAATGTGTTTAAAATCTAAAGCTTCTCGGCTGTTATAACTTTAAGATTCAAGAGTCCTATCCTTCAGGAAAAAAAACGCTTTGTCAACCACAAAATTTGAGAGGTCAGCACCCTTCTGGTTTGATCCCTAGAGAAGTTGCTTTGAAATGAAGTCCCCCATTGTAACAGTTGACTCTGTTGTCATAGACATCAATGATTCAGTGTATAATGGATAACCTCTAGGAGGTTGATACGAATTATAAATACTGAGAGACTTACTTTTCCATCTAATTTTTATAGCTTGAATTTCAAGGTATAAAATTAGTATAAATTAATCGGGAGGTAAATTGGTAAATTGTGTAATACGTATCAATATCTGTTCTTTCCTTTCTTTTATGACATTAAAACATTGATATGTATGAAATCAAAATGCATAAATTTTAAATTTGTAGGAATGCACAAAATATTTTTAAACTTGAAATCCCAAATAATTGTTATCATTATTTTCCCAGTTGGCTTGTATTAATTAGAAAAATGTAGTTGAGTTATTTTTTAATTATATTTTAGAGATTCTTAATTAAAAAATTGCTAATATCTAATAAAAAATTACATTGAAACCTCTGATAGACGATCACACAGGATTCCAGGCGATTTTTATTTTCTGTGGAAATGTGCGCCTTAGAGGTACTTTTCTGTTATCGAGACCGGATTCAGAAATGTACCTAGGTATGCATGTATGTATCTGCGCATGTAGGCATACATGTATGTATATGTACGTGCGTATGTATGTATGTGTATGCATACAAACATATGTAGAATCATAAGGCTATTTTGAAGCAGGAGACGTGAAAAATGTGCAACACCGTCTCGGGACTCGAACCCTGAACCTCTCGAGTACGCATCGATTATGCTTCCAATTACACCTCGAAGGCGTGCGGTAAGCAAGGAGGGATAAAATACCTTATACATACATGCATACACACACACGTACACATATATATATGAATCCAGTCCTGATAGCATCAAAGTATCGCCTTAGAAAGTATGGCAATCAATGAAATCGATTAGCGGTTTGTATAACGAATTTGACCCATTCAAGGTTCTCGGACTTTATTATGGAAAATATTGAATACCGTATATTCGGGCATATAACACCGCACCGGCGCATAACGTGAACTTATAATTTTAAACTGCATTTATTAATTTTTAGATATATTCACCATATAACGCGCACCCTTTTTCATAGGAAGAAACCTGAAAGATACATGTGGGATGCTCAGTCATTCATTCGAAGGTTTTTTTCGACACTTTCTAACAATGGTATACAGAATTGAAAAGAGATAAAGTGAACAATACGTTCAGGGGGGGATGCTTGAAGGAGTAAGGATTTCTGCAAAGACAGTGATTTCTATTTAATTCAGTTTGCACACGAATGTTATTCTAGGATTTTTTTAAAAAAGAGACAGAATTTGTGGTAAGAATGCCTTTCTGACGCGAATGAGTACGCGGAATTAGGAGTCAGATACTCTCTCTTTCTACAGTCTTTTGAAGTGAACATCGAAGATTTTAGTAAATCGAATTTAGAAGAAATACAGTTGATCTAGGATTCATCTTAGTTCTTTTGAAATGAACATCGAAAACTTTAGTAAATCGAATTTAGATGAAATACAGTTGATCTAGGATTCATTTTAGTTCTTTTGAAGTGAACATAGAAGACTTTAGTAAATCGAATTTAGATGAAATACAGTTGATCTAGGATTCATTTTAGTTCTTTTGAAGTGAACATCGAAGACTTTAGTAAATCGAATTTAGATGAAACACAGTTGATCTAGTATTCATTTTAGTAGTAAATATGACTTCTGCCCATCGAAACAATACAAAGGCTTCAAATACAAAGTCATTCAGTTTGAGAAAGAAAATGGAAATCGTGCTGCAGCAAGGATGTTGGCGTTAATGAAAGATGGGATAGATGATGATTATTTATTTATGAATCTGTGTAACAATGATAGTGAAGATGAAACAGAATTCGATGATGGGTCTGAAGATATAACGGAAGATGAACATGACGAACTTTTCATCTTATTAGATAATGAAAATTTTTAAGTTCGCAAGATATGTCGTTTCTTTTAAATAAACAGCATTTAGGTATGTGTAAAAGTCTAATTGGTGTATGCTAAATTTTCCTTATTTTTTTATCTATCATTTTCATACCTGCCGTATATCGCGCATCCGTAAATTTATTATTTAAATTATTGTTTAAGTGCGCGTTATATGCCGGAATATAACGTATATCTGTATACTAATACGGTATATATGTATATTAATGCTGTAATATTAATTAAATTGCTATTTCGTAGTAAAAGCAAGTATAAGGTATGAGGAGTTAAACTCAGCAAAAACATTTTTCAAAGATTAATTTCTGAATTCTTTAAATAAATAATATTTTGAAATACGAAAATCGAATTTTATGTATCAAAAAAATTATAAAAATCTTTACATCCTAAATTTATCTAGTAATTTTTAAACAACTGTGCAGGTATATTCATCTTACGAAATCTGCTTGCTTGATTTTGTTTTTTAGTTAATTATTTCCTTTCTTTAAAGCAATTTGAATTTCATTAAATTCGTAAGGTATTTCATAAGGTTTATTTATGTTAATTAGCTAGTTATTTTTATGTTTCGAATCTGTACTGTCACTTCCCTTTCTCCATTTTCCTGCCAGAATACAAATTAGTTCGCGTATTTTTAAGTGGGGGTAAAAAGTATAAGTATCAAGTGAGGATTTGTAATTTAGTCACAGCGTGTTCTGCCTGCTGAAGGCCACGTTATTAGTTGATTCTGTTGAGAGCAGTTGACTGCGGCGTTGCTTTATTCTCGCCATTAGGCTTGTCACAGCGATATTTAGGTCGATGTGACAAACCTAATGGCGAACCAACTTGCTCTTTTTCTGTGTAGCCTTTGGACTAACTACAATTTACTTAGTTAAGATAAATTCGTTTTTCTTATTTACGCCATAAATACTGGCTGGCTTTGTAAGCATAAGTTGTATCTTCTGTCAATTAATCTGAGTTAATAAAAGAGTCTTTTACATCCCTTCCAAGTCTCTGTCGTAGTTTTCAAGACATAACGGTAAGCGACACGTCGCTCAAGTCTTCAGAATTCTCACTCAGTGAATCTCACCAAAGAGGGTGAAACTCTGTACCTTATATAAAATATTTTAATTTGATACATAAATTACCCATTTTGGTAGTCGCTTTAATACATATTTTGCAATTTATAAGTAGAGTTAGGAAGTAATTTTGTTAGAAAATAATCCTGTAATAATAAATACCGATGTTTATTTATTATTATTATTATTATTATTATTATTATTATATTTATATTTTTTCGAAGAAACTTGTCTTTTTTGAGGTAGTAATGAAAGGGAGTTTGTCACCATGAGAAAATTCATTGCATTATTGTTCTCAATAACAGATATTAACTAATAAGCAAGCATTATATGTTATTGCCAACTAATATTTTGTGTCTTTGAATAGTTAGTATCTGGCACTAACTATTCCTAGGAGAGTAAAGAAATATAAAAAACTGAGCAATAAAGGCATAATTAATTTGTACTGATCAACATTTATTTCAATATCCATTCTTTTTACAATAATCTTCTTGGGGGTCGCATACTTGTTTCCGTTTACACTTTCAGTTTCCTGAGATTCAGTTCATTAATCAGCCTGAAAAGAAAAGTTTTCTTTTTATAAGTCAGATTTAACATTCATGCGAATGACACATCTAAAAATATAAAAATAATAAATTTTAGCCCAAACGGATGGTAGTCCAGAAGGGCTATTAGTCTCAAGATGGCATTTCGTTTCATTTCACTAAAAAGGTGAATCACTTTTTAAATTACTGCCACCAAATATTATCCCGCTGTATTATATTTAAAGAAATTAAATAAGAATCTGCATGAATGTATGTATGTTTCTCGCATTGTGAAAAACGACGGTCCCTAGAGCCATCAAAATTTGAACAATGTAATCCTCCACTTGGATACCCGAATTTAGAATTTGTTTTATTATCTATTTAAAATTTGTAAAACTTTAACGAATTTTCGATTGACAAATTCAACGATTTCAAAGCCAGCAGTGACAACACAGTACGAAAAAAAAAACATTTTTATCTCCAAGACTGTGTATCGGAAATTCTAAAAATATGTTGTTTTTAAATATTCTGTGATATTTCTGTTAAACTGAATTTTATATGGTTTAAGTGCGAAGAACGTGATATTTAATAAATAAAGGTAACACACAAAACGTTAAAAAAGCGTCCCTTTGGGCGTAATATGAAATCTGAAAGCTTTCAGTTTTTTTTAATGAAGTTAAACAATAGAGGAGGAGGACATTGAATAAATTTTGATTTATTGTTATGACAATGGAAACAGAATGTGCCGAAAACGTTTATTTTAATAGAGTAATACCTAGGAATACTGCGTAAAACCAACTATTCCTTCCTAAGTACTTTTGCACTTAATACAGATAAACAGTGCGAAAGCAATCCCGAAAAATTATTTATTATGCAGAAATGCCTTCCTATATGATTACTAATGATACCAAAATTAAATATTTTGCGCTCTTTTTTAAACTTAATATGATACTCTTGTGTGCGTACGGGGTCGTAATATATTCAATGCGTACGGAATTGATGATAGATTGATAAAATTTCATTTAACCAAAAGGAACACTTCACAGTTCTGGAACTTTCCAGGAAAATATTCGTATATCTCTTTTCAGAAGGCCAGAGTCATAATCAGTAGTTACCACGTCAAACTACTAAGAACGTTAAAAACCATGCTGTGAAAAGCGCATCTGAAAGTCGAAGCTCTTACGGATATCTCAGTCAAAGAATATATGGGGAGAAGAAGTTAAGCTTCAACGGCACAGCAACGCCCACAGAGAAAAATTGAGTCTAAAATGTACAAGATTTTGGCAAACTTTACAGGAGTGAAGCTAGGTCTTGAAATTCGTCTCGCATGCGCTTTAACCCCTTCGAGCCGGGTAGCGAAAACGCGCGCTTATCGCGGAGGCCGGCAGTGTCTTCCGCGAGCGTCTCTCCAGGGCCGGGGGCTTTTTTGCTACTAAGCCTAAATCCATGAAATTTCCGAAGTATCAACGCATTGTTTAATAATGCTCTATAGAGTATTTAAACGGCTTGTGCTTTATAGATATTTTTATATATATACTTTAATTACCTTATTTCTTGTTTAAATGCATATTTTACACATTTTATTTTAATTACTCACCATTTTATGACTTTTAACATTATACATCTGAAAACTAAATATATTACTTAAAATTCTCTTTTCGTATGAAAAATTTTAAAACAGGGATCTACACACAGTCCTACGTTACATTCCTTGAACTCGTAATAACTCATTTGCCGTTTTGGAGGATTTTTCCGGGAATGTGAACAAACGAAGCATCGTCGTCTCATTTTCTTATCAGTCTCTTCTGAACAAAGTTTTGGAAAATGTCTTTCAGTTAATCTTTCAGAATCAATATCAGAATTTCAGAATCAATATCTGAAATATTTTGCATGATTTCTGCTATTTCATGCTCTGTTAAACATTTTCGACGCTTCGACATTGAAACGGTAAAAACAGAAAGAATTCACGTCTAACAAGATCTAATTATTTTCTAAAAACTGAACTGTAAACCGAAATACTCAACGCTTTAGCGCATATAAAACTTCTACTTACAATAAACAACTACCACGTGCGAATAAAGTGCGATTTAAAGAGACGTCATAAATCACGCCATTCGGAAACATTTAGTTCCCCGTTTGTTTTATATAATCAAAAACAAGTGTATGTGAGTCATGCTTCTCTCATTTCAAGAAGGTCTAATGCACATGTATCTGAAACCATATGGACATACAGTGCCATCTTCTGGCAGAAATTATAGTTTGAAAAACGTTCCAAGGTACTGGCACAAATACGTGACAGTCGGTAGAGAATGCAACAATGCTCTGGCACGCCTGCGTGTCGGCTGGTAGATAAGTGTGTTCGTTGCTGGCACGTATACGTGACAGTCGGCGCGAAGGGGTTAAAGCCAGAAAAACTTCTCATTAAACAAACAGCATCTGAGAATCAAAACCGTGAAAAACAACCTTATATTTAGCGTAGGTATAATGAAACACTCAATCGATTTCGAGGGCAGCTAAAGGTCCCTCCTCATCAGGAGAAAGAAATACATAGAAAGAAGAAAATAGGAATCACAGAAACACGTGGTGCTTATCAGCACTGCACGTCGTTATAACTAGATTTTTAATCAGAGTTGCACTGGCCGCCTACTTTTACTGAGCCAGGCTGTCTGATCAAGCATAAAGAAATATTAGCGAAGTTAAAATAGGGAGCGAGGGGCAAAATGCACATTACGCTCAAATCTGAACTTCAAATAATGGAAATCAACCACTGAACGGATTTTTATACCCTCTGGTAGTACCAAGTGCGAGGAGGTAACGCCATCTATCGGCAAAAATAATTGAATTAAGACAGTAGAATTTTAAAGGCATTAGGAAGGACTGGATTGGACTTCAAATCATTAACTAAACTTTCTAAATCTTTGTGAATGTGAAAGCCTCAAGAAAAATCCAATTCGCCTATGGAAGAAGCCTTTTGGATGATTTTTGCAGACCCAAATCAAAATTATGGTTAAAAGTCCAGCTATGATACGCTATTGAAGACTTGTTAATTTCCCCCTTTTTTTGACATAAGATTCATGTTCCTTGATACGAAACTTCAACGCTCTTTTTGTTTGGCCATATATCTTAAACCCACACTGACATGATATACTATAAATTCCCCAAGAATTCAGACAGAAACGCAATCTTTTAGAATCGAAGGGTGAATTTTATTAATAGGGGAGAAAACGACGACTTGAAAATTGAATTTCTGGAGACGGACAGATCGTTGTTATGGACAAACACACATATATTACTGGAGTCTCTAAATTGATAAATGAAGGCCCACACTGCTCGATCCCTAAAGATCCTTCAACTTCGGACCTCATGAAATTAAAAAGTACTATTAAATCTTCCCACATTCTGCCAACTCAGTTGAAGAAATCACTTATTCCGCCTATTACTAATTGCGCTAGACTTTATGCTCTTCCAAAAGTCCACAAAACCGGTATTCCTTTTCGACCAATTGTTTCCAACATAGGTACTGCTTCATATCCTTTGGCCAAATATTTAGTTTCCAGATTTTCTCCTCTACTTGATAACAATATTCACACTGTAAAAAATTCTGTTGAAGTCATTGATAAACTTAAAAATATTTCCCCACTTCGTTGCATTATGGTTTCATTTGATGTCAAATCATTGTTTACTAATGTTCCGGTCAAAGGAGCACTAAATTGTCTTGAAACTAGGCTTCGGGAATTTCACTTCACACATACTGAAATTAATGAGTTGGTTTCGCTTACTAAAGTTTCTCTAAGTCAAACCCACTTTGTTTTCCAAAATGCATATTTTCGTCAAGTTGAAGGATTGGCTATGGGTAATCCTCTCAGTCCGGTACTTGCTGACATTATATGCACTATTTTGAGATGAAATTATTTAATAAACTATCTTTTCGTCTTTGGATTCGGTATGTTGACAACACTTTCGCACTTTTTGACGGTTATAAAGAGGATTTATCCGAGATTCTATCTATTATGAATTCAATTGATCCAGCCATCCAATTCACTCTTGAAAATTGAATCCAACAATTCCCTCCCCTTCCTCGATATTCTTATAATCCGCAATGAAACCGATTTTAGCACCACTGTGTACCGTAAACCCTTTGCAGTTGTTTACCACCCCCATGCCAAGTCATGCCACCCTGTTAAGCAAAAAAAATGGCTTCTTTTTACTATTATGTTTTCCGCGCGCTAAAAGTTTGTTCCTCTGAATCTTTGCTTACCAATGAACTTAATTATTTGAGAGCAGTTGCGATTGACCGTGGTGGATTTTCTCCCGTGATTATTGATAAAAGCCGTCAAAAAAAAATTTTCAGATTCCCATCAAAGAAGACATTCCACTGTTAGAAATAATATCAATGACCTTGTCGTGCTTCCATTTTATCCTTCTGTTAGCTATAAAATTGCACGGATTCTCCAGAAATTCAATTTTCAAGTCGGTTTCTCCCCTATTAATAAATTCACCCTTCGATTCTAAAAGATTGCGTTTCTGTCTTGAATTCTTGGGGAATTATAGTATATCATGTCAGTGTGGTTTAAGATATATTGGCCAAACAAAAAGAGCGTTGAAGTTTCGTATCAAGGAACATGAATCTTATGTCAAAAAAGGGGAAATTAACAAGTCTTCAATAGCGTATCATAGCTGGACTTTTAACCATAATTTTGATTTTGGTCTGCAAAAATCATCCAAAAGGCTTCTTCCATAGGCGAATTGGATTTTCTTGAGGCTTTTCACATTCACAAAGATTTAGAAAGTTTAGTTAATGATTTGAAGTCCAATCCAGTCCTTCCTAATGCCTTTAAAATTCTACTGTCTTAATTCAATTATTTTTGCGATAGATGGCGTTACCTCCTCGCACTTGGTACTACCAGAGGGTATAAAATCCGTTCAGTGGTTGATTTCCATTATTTGAAGTTCAGATTTTGAGCGTAATGTGCATTTGCCCCTCGCTCCCTATTTTAACTTCGCTAATATTTCTTTATGCTTGATCAGACAGCCTGGCTTCAGTAAAAGTAGGCGGCCAGTGCAACTCTGATTAAAAATCTAGTTTATAACGACGTGCAGTGCCGATAAGCACCACGTGTTTGTGATTCCTATTTTCTTTTTTAGGTATTTTTTCTCCTGATGAGGAGGGACCTTTAGCTGCCCTCGAAATTGATTGAGTGTTTCATTATATCTACGCTAAATATAAGGTGGTTTTTTACGGTTTTGATTGTCACATTAGCGTGTTTCTCTTCTAGTCTAGCATCTGAGAAGTCGCCACTGCGCGCTATGTTGGTAGATATATATATATAATAAATTCAGCAGCAGGAATTTTTATGGCGTTGAAGTGTTGATCTACAATGACTGGGAAATTGGAGGCGAAGGCAGGTTAAATCTTCAGTTTTATTTTCAGCAACATGTTGCGGCTACACACAAGTCGGCACATTAAATGCGCCTGTTCCAAAGGGCTTACATTTTTGATAGATTTGCAGCAAAAAATAAGAAGCAGACAAGACTACAGTCCAGCTAAGGCAAAGGGTAGAAAGAAAGTGCGTAATGTTCAGGATGAAATCTTAAGTGAAACTGAATCAGTTTTGGTTCTCAAAGCATTTTGATTGGATAGTTAATATTGCTGTACAATTATTATTGACTGCTTGAGCTTTAGTTCTATTTACATCACCAGAATTACGTAAGAGTCATATGACATAGATTTTTCTCAAAATAATTTACGCTGCTAATTTAATCTTTTATATATTGTTTATTTTTCTTACATATACGCTTGATAACCACCAATTTTAATAAAAATAGGGGATGCTTAACTGGGTGCTATAGCAGTCCCCTATATAAAATTTCAACGTTCTACGGCTAATTGTTGTTGATTTTGTTATTACTAATGCTCACTTGTCTGACCTATAGTCAGCCCAAGCCCACGAAATACCTCGGGGCAAGGAGCGCAAGATGCGCCTGCCGTTGGCAACAGCCTTGAGCATTATACAGGTGACAGTGCGATTTAGCTCATTCTTCCCCAGTTTTGATGGAGAGCACCCCGGGGAACGGGTCCAGGGGTCTTCAACCAAACCACATGAGAGGACTTTCGGCTTGCCGCATATTTAGAGTACCCCATGCTGCACCGACACTATACATTTACAAACATCCATATCTTCTCCGGGATTCGAACCCGTGCCTTTTGGCACGGCAGTTTGCGACGCTAACCTCTATACCGAATGGGCGGCCACAGCTAATCGTTTTTGAGTTATAAAAGATACATAAATACATACATTCATGCATAAAAAATCCTTTTAAATCCATTTTAAATAAGCTTTACAATTCATTTTGGAAAAAATAGTCCTTTACTCTGTCTGCACGTTCAGAAGTAACGCAAAAAATCGTCCAAATGATTCGGGAACAGTCAAAATGGATATTACATTAAAGGATGATACGTGAAATTTTTCGCCATTACAGTAATTCTGAGTCTCCATACAAGAAAGCAAAAATTAGAGGCAATTTTTTTGTTGCAGTTTAAAAATGAGCTGCGACAATTCTATAAGAAACTAAGGATGCTTGTGGAAATATGAAACGTTCTGTCATTCAGTGACAGTATGTGCTTTAACAGACTATTTCATTAACCTTATCCATGCTTAAATATTAGATAATTGCATTTTTTAAACTTTTTCTTAATGCTTCCAATGTATTTATTTTAAGATTTGCTAGTCCATTATTAATATGGTTATGAGGAAGTACATAGCGGCATCCGATTTATAAAATGCATGCCTGCGAAAAAAATTTTTGAAACTTAAGTCTGAGGTGAAATAACTGCATCGATATAAGAATTAATTTTCTTAACCTTTAAAATAATTTCCTTTCTGACATGTTCCGGAGATTGAATCAAATGTATGCGCCTTTCCTGCAAACTAAATGCAATTAGGGATGACCAGGTTTTAATAGTATTCATTAAGGCTTAAGATTTAAAATCAATCTTAAGTACTTGCTCCGACTAAGCAGTGTTCATTACTTGAGCTTGCTCTAAAAATACCTTTCAAATTTTTCTTCTAAGCCATGTTATTCCATGCAATAGTTCAATGCATTATTGTATATCATGTTACTACGTTAAAAGAATAATCAGAAAAGTCAGCTATTTAATAGAAATGTATTGCTACTCCACGAACCCTAAAGTATTTATCTTTCAACTATAATCAACAAACTCAGCGATTTAAAAGAATTATGTTGTCACTCGGCAAGAGCAAGACATTTGTCTTCTAAATTTCATCAGCAAATTCACCAATTTAAAAAAACATTGTGTTGCCACTGACCAAAATAAAATGTTTATCTTCCATGTGCCAGTGTGTTGCAACTCGGCAAAACGTCGAGGTACTTAATTTTGCTTTAAAATTTAATCTTTAAAATTTCTTTGAAATTAATTGATTCGCAGAATAAGAGATTTAAAAGCAGTAAATGCAGTTCTTCATCTCTATATTATTACTGGCTGGACTCGTGATATTGCACTAACTTCACTCTTAAAAATTACTGTATATTTTTTTCTTTTTTATAATAACTAGCCGCTTGCATGACAGCCGCCTAAAATAGTTTAAAAAAAGACAAATTTTAGGTTAATTAGGCAACAAAATTTCTTTTATTGCTTAAATTTGAATTAGTAGATTATTCACCTTGACGAACTCCTTGAGCAAATGGCACGCGAGCCAAAGGAGCGGCATATCCACTTGGGTTGACATTTTGTTTACCATACAGACCAACTTTAGTTCCTCCTAAAGAAGCACCGGTGACGTCCAGCCCACCATCAAATGAGCCTTCACCACCAGATGATTTGCTGTACAATCCTACTGGGGCATCTTCTAGAGATACTGCATATTCTTCGCTGCTGCCGCTAGATGGTAGGGAAGGATAAGGTATGGGTGGATAGAATGGAAAGAATGGGAAGAATGGTGGGAAGGGGGCAAAGTATGGCTGAAACGATGGTACTGTGATGCGAGGATAAGATGGACGTTGCGGGTATCGTTTCTGTGCGCTGACAGCTACAATGGTGGCAAAAATAAGGACCTAGAACATAAATGAAATAAATAAATATCACGTGTAGATATATGAATAATGATTTCTAAGCCTAAATATTGACAAAACTATTAATACAAGCTTTTCATAAAAGAAGCAAAATCACCTGTCTTTTAACTTTCACATTGAAAGGAAATATGTTTAAGAAATTTCGTCTCGAAATTACACCTTATTTTCTGGCAATAAAGGGCGTGTTGTTGAGATGCAGGTGTATATAGTGGAACTTTTAACATCTTAGATACTGCGTAGATGACGGAGAAGACTGTAGTGGCTTGAAGGTTTCAGAGTGGAAAGCATGATGACGCAATTTACGACAACGTATCTTGAAAAACCACAATCTTTTTTTTTTCTTTTATGCATATCAAATCATTTTTTTTTTCAGACAAGATTTTTCCTAATCATATTTGGAGAGAGTAAGTTGCATTTTGAAGTACGACGTCGTTTGAAGCAAGTAAAATACATTAAGCATCTACATACAGCATACATTAAAAGCATCTTGCCGGCAGGAGAGCTTCTGCGGAAAAGTGGGAGAGTTATGGTACTTTCAGAGGAAGAAATTGGAAGTGAGAAAGTTTCAGTTCAGAGTTTTTGTTTACAAGTAATTTGATTGGACAAGAGGCATCTGTATTAAAACGTTATGTAAGATAGAAAAATCTGGAACCTGTGAGAAGAGATAAATTTAGGTGCAGATCACCAAATTTAGAATTTTAATTTTGAGGTCGCCAATTATTATTATTTTTTTTTTTTTTGAAACAGCAATCATATTTTTTATGTTTTACATATATATACCTGCATATAATATATATATATATATATATATATATATATATATATTTCATATTACAAATAACATTTTTAAAAAACGCAATGTAATTATCCCTTGTACTTTCGAGTATTAAGCTGCTGAAAAATTATCAGTAAAGACATAAAGTTAGAAATTTAGAACCAATTTTTCATAAAAACCAAAACTGAAATTCATAAGTAATAAATTTCAAATAATCTTATAAATGCAAAAAAGAATTTAATAAATATTAAAATCAAAACACTTCAAACAAGCAATATCCCAATTCAAAAATCAATGAAATTTAAAGAAAAATAATAAAGGAATTCAATCAACTTCGTCATGCCACTTCGTCAGAAGGAGCAACATTGATTTGAAATCTCTCAACTTCTGAACAACAGAAATCTCTTTTCTACAAAATCCTTGCTTTTCTGTATCCAGAATGAGCCGAAGAACCACTTCAATATATTTTAATTATAATAGTTCACCCGAAAATTCTTTGGATAATGTTCTCTTTGTTTAAAGGTAAAATTTTGATTTGAACTTTTCACTAAAATATTTTATTATTTCACTTACGTTTTCAATTCTTTGAATAGTTCTCTTTAATTAAGAAGAAAAAAAAATTGATTAGAGTTTACTTTGCTTTTCTCTTGGTTTGGGCAGGGGCCGGAATTTTCGGGCGAACTATAATAATTAAAATATTTTCAAGTCGTTCATCGCCTGAATCTGCATACAGAAAAGTGAGGAATTTTGTATAAGAGAAATTTCAATTGATTTCAGTGTTCTTCCTCCTGACGAAGTGGCACTGAAATTGATTGATGAAGTTGAAGCATTATGTTCTTTTTTCTTTAAATTTCATTGATTTTTTTTATTTACGGTATTGCTTGTGTGAAGTGTTTTGATTTAATATTTATTATACTCTCTTTGCATTTATAGGATTATTTCAAAAGTTATTACTTTGTAGGGTTTATGTTTATTTTAACTAACATTTATTTTAAGTTTAAGCTATCATTCCTGTCAAGCCTTTACTTTCCCCTAGAATTGCCAATGCCAGAATATGTAAATCGTAGTAGAACGCGCAGAGTATTCAAATTTTAGCAGAAGTAATTGAGTTTAAATAGAAGGGAAGCGAGATTGTAAGTGTGCTTCTTGAATCACGAGCGTGAAGGTTGCTTGGTAGAAAGTTTAAGAACCGCGCGTTTCGGCCTGTGTGCCTATTTCGACAGTTCGTTGAATCTTTCAAATTCTTAATCAGAAGTTTGCTGAATCTCAGCTGTATCTTAGAACGCGGTTAAGTTAGTTACGATTATAGAGCCTCGTAGGTAGTGATTTCGTTATTTATTCATACTGTCATTTATTTTTAGTTGCATTTTTGTCTATGTTGTTCAAAAAACGCCGGTCGGCGTTAGTTTGTGAGCGTCAAGTGAACGCAACTGTGATTTCTAAAGTGAAATAAAAAGGGAGTTAAGCCCTTCTTATTCAGAGTTTGTGTAATTTCCAGTTCATAGCAGTCACTACTACTGTTGCTGACAAGTTGGGGCCTCCCAACATCATAACTTATGAATCTGAACTTTTTGTCTTTGTGAAAAATTGGTTATAAATTTCTTACTTTATGTCTCTGCTGGTATAAAATTATCTATGTTGCATTAGCACATGCATATGTACGCAGACCGCCGATATGACATCTACCTCCTTAAACTGTCTTTCTTGTAAATTCCCGAGGCTGTATAATAAGTCATTTTTCTCTCTTAGTAAAATACATCCAGTAAAGTCTGTTTAAGATTCAATCCTGTTTGGTATTAAACAGGATTAAAAACTCTTTTTTAACAATCGAAAACCTCTTACATGTATTTTACAGAATACACGATGCTAATATATTGTTACGAATTTGGTATTTAAAAAGCTAATGTTAGTTCAATTACAAATTAAATGATTTTATTTCTCGCGCAGTGCAGCGCGTGACGAATATTAAAAGAAAGCTAAGCCGTAAAATTGAAATTACAAGAGCGCGTGCATTAAATAAATAAATATCTCTTTTTGATTTCGAGAAAGTACTGGAAAATTCTAGCGCGTGATTTTAAAATCTATAAAAGGAGGAAACATCTCAGTTTGTAGTAGTTGCTTAGTTTGTTGTTGTTTAGAAAACTGCTCTTGTTGATTGTAGCGAATTCGCGGATTAGCGTTCTTTAGCTGTTTTTAATTGCGTTCTATTATTGGACATTGAGTAGTTAAAAAGATAACCTACTGTGAGATATTGTAATACTGCATGATAATTTGAGAAAATTAAGCATTTTTTTTTGTTTGTGATAATAATAATTTTTTTTTTTTGTTCATTTTTCATCGGACTTGTGCATTCATTTCATAACGAACCCGTACGCACGCAACAATTTTTGGTTGTCAGAAGTGGGATTTGAATGCCAATAACAAGAGCGATGGAAGAGCAATTTAAGGCAGTTAATATCAGCTTTGATTAAAAAAGAAAATTAAAGAGAAATGAAATTGTCCAGGGAATCCGTTAAAGGAAGAAATGAAATTGGGCCAGGAATCCGTTTAAGGAAGAAATGAAATTGGGCAGGAATCCTTAAGGACGAAATGAAAGCCGTTCAAGCTGGTCAAGAAGAAATGAAAAGAGAAATTACTTGCATAATAGAAAATAAATTTGAAGCTATGGAAGGCAGATTGACGCAGTTGAAAATAAAGTTGGCCATATTGAAGAAAAAGTTTCTTCCGTAAAAGATCATATTGAAGAAAGAGTTTCTTCGGTGAAAGAAGAAATAGAAGAAAGAGTTTCTTCTGTAAAAGAAACTAAAAGAACATATAGAAGGGAGAGTTTCTGCTGTGGAGGAACGAATTGAAGGAAGAGTTTGTGCCGTCCAATACCAAATCGAACAAATTGATGAGAGAGTTTCTGCAGTTGCCAAAGAAATGGATACTTTAAAGAAATTCGTAAACGTCGGCAGGGAGCATGAGTGATGATTTTAAATTCTTACCAATGCCTGCTCGTCCACCTCTGAAGCTATCCACGTATGATGGGAAGACCTCCTGGCAGGTGTATAAGACACAATTTTCTATCGTGGCGGATGCGAATGGATGGGATTCCCAAGCTAAGGCCTGTCATCTCGCCGCTTCTCTCTAAGAGCCGACGCAGCGGATATCCTTCAGACTCTTCCCGAAAACAAAAGGTTAGATTTCGAAGCTCTATCCGGCGCTTTTGGAGCTGCACTTCGGCGAGAAATGTTTAAAAGACTACAGCAGGCTCCAATTAAAATCTCGTCAACAGCAGCCTACCGAAACACTTCAGGAGCTCGCCGCGGATGTTGAAGGCTGTCCCATCTCGCCTTTTCGGAATGCCCGACAGAAACAAGGAAATCCTGTCCTTACAATACTTTATCGACGGCATCCGAGATACTGAAATACAGAAAGCTCTTCGAATGGCAGATGTAAAGGACATAAAAAGCGCTCTGTTGTACGCCATGAAGTTCGAGGCAGCCCAGCAAGCAACTAGTAGAGATCGCTACCCAGTAGAGCTGTGCGAGTCCATGAGCCAGTGGATCAACTGATGGCTCGTTTAGATGATTTAGCCAACAAGTCGAAGATTTGATACGGAGTAGGAGCGAGAAGAAAGTGGCTCTCTAAGGTGTTGGAGATGTGGTAGTGAAGGTCACCTAAGACGGAATTGCAGAACACCCCAGGGTACGGAATATAAAGCAGATGATTTTACCAGACAATTCAGTGGCTGAGACGGAACAGAAGTGAAAAGAAACTAATTCTAAAGTGCTGGAACTGCGGAGTTGAAGGCCACTACGAAGAAACTGCCAGAACACCCCGAGGTACGGAAAATAAGACCATTTCCCAGCAACAAACGCAGTAACAAATTAGTAACCATATCAAGGACGGAGGTTGCCAGATAGTGAAAAACCTTGTTTTAAAGCTCTTAAAATTATACGTGAGTGGCAACATAACGGACTGCATCAATGGAAATATCGATGGAGTTCCTTGCAGTATGATCATTGACACAGGAGCTAATGTTACCATCATTAGGAAAGATTTAGCTGAACAATTTAAAGATAAACTTATTTGGACGCCATCCTGTGTTACCCTTCAGACTGCGTCTGGTGACAAGATCGACCATACTGGGAAGTTAAACGAAACATCACGTTTGGAAGTGCCGCCTACCATCACACGGCATATGTGGCGATATTCAGATCCA